CCTTCTGCATGCGGTCAGCAATGCCAGGGTACATGGTGGTACCTCCAGACAGCACAGTGTTGGCGTACAGGTCCTTACGGATGTCCACATCGCACTTCATGATGCTGTTATAGGTAGTTTCATGGATACCACAGGCCTCCATACCTGTGGAGAGTTGGAACGTTAGTGATCACTCAGCTACAACTGCTTAACAATTCACAGAAATCTATCTTAAAGCTGACGCTGCTTACCAAGGAATGTGGGCTGGAAGAGAGCCTCTGGGCAACGGAACCTCTCATTCCCAATAGTGATGACCTGTCCATCAGGCAGCTCATAGCTCTTCTCCAGGGATGAAGAGGAGGCAGCAGTTCCCATCTCCTGCTCAAAGTCCAGGGCAACATAGCACAGCTTCTCCTTGATGTCACGCACAATCTCACGCTCAGCTGTGAGACAAGAAAACGCATTACATTTAGGCTTTTCTGGGGGTTTTTTCCTGGTGTAAACCATCTTTCCTTGACTGTGTCCATTTTCTCACCTGTAGTAGTGAAGCTGTGGCCTCTCTCAGTCAGGATTTTCATGAGGTAGTCTGTGAGGTCCCTGCCAGCCAGGTCCAACCTGACAATGGCATGGGGCAGAGCGTAGCCTTCATAGATGGGCACAGTGTGGGAGACACCGTCACCGGAGTCCATGACAATACCAGTGGTACGACCAGAGGCGTACAGGGACAGCACTGCCTGGATGGCCACATACATGGCAGGAGTGTTGAAGGTCTCAAACATGATCTGCAAGGAGAGCAGGAGAAAAGAGATGATCAGTGAAACTAAGAGTCAGAGTAATCTGAAATAAGTTTCTATGTGTTAGTTCAATTGTACAGAAAGAACAGCACACTGGGTTGAATTTTAATAGTAAAACTACTTTATAGAAAAGCAATTTATTACAAAACTTCTTTGTTACACTGACTCTACAAGTTAAAGTGCCGCAACCTGCTCTATTCTTCTTTTTTTTTCATGCAGACACCTGGAGAAAAAACCTGGAGGGTTGAAGGAGGATGAGGATAGACAGATTGAGCAGGGGAAGAAACACCCGAGTGGCAACATAGTTTCCTGTTGTTGGGCACTGCAGCTCAACAGTTTCCTGACTTAGGGGGAAGTTCGTCAAGGTGTCAGCTCTTGTTACCTGCGTCATCTTTTCCCTGTTTGACTTGGGGTTCAGGGGGGCCTCTGTGAGCAAGACTGGATGCTCCTCAGGGGCAACTCTCAGCTCATTGTAGAAGGTGTGATGCCAGATCTTCTCCATGTCATCCCAGTTGTTGACAATTCCGTGCTCAATGGGATACTTGAGGGTCAGGATTCCTCTTTTGCTTTGTGCCTCGTCACCAACATAGCTGTCCTTCTGGCCCATACCAACCATTACACCCTAGGAATGCAAAGAGCAGTGCGATTATGAAAAGGTCAGCAGTTATGAAAAGGTTACAAGGTATGTGAGGTTTATTAAGGAATATGTACCTGATGCCTGGGGCGTCCAACAATGGAGGGGAACACAGCACGTGGAGCATCATCTCCTGCAAAGCCAGCTTTGCACATTCCAGATCCGTTGTCAACAACGAGGGCGGCAATTTCGTCTTCCATTTTCTGTATGAAGGGAATAAGAAGGGAGGAAAGGATTTTTAGATCAGCTGTTAAGCTGTGGTGTTTTCCATGTGGTATGTTTTATCATCTGACATCGCTGGCACAGGGTTCAGTCGAAACCCAGTGCTCAGTCTGCCCATTGCTATAGAAGGCTGTTAAGAATACTTTTCACACAATCATCTCTAGGATTTACAGTAAGTGATCTGAAAAAGAGAAAATATAATGTGAGCTGCAGTTCTTTGGGTGAAAATGCCTTGTTGATGCCTAATGTTTGAGGCACATAGCCAAAATCCTTCAAGTTGATATGATGGCAACAAAGACAACGACCACACTAGCTGCAACTCCTATTAGTTGGACAATAGAAGATCGGAAAGCCAGTGGCCGCTGTGATGAGTCTCAATTTTGTGCTGTGGCATTTAATGTAGCATAAACAACACAAAGCACTGGCATTTCACAGTGAAGATCTTTGTTCCAAACCAGCCTTTCCGTGGGGAGTTTACATATTCTTCCTGTGCCTGTGTGGCTTCCCTTCAGGTTCTTCTTTGGCTTCCTCCAATCCAAAGACAGATGTGGACATGTTCAGAGTTTTTTTCCAAGATATTTTAAATAGGGTCTAGGTGTGAACTGTATAATCCTGTTAAGTCAGTATCCCCCAGAATCTCTCTGAAGAGTACGTTGTTGAATCTATTTCACAAAAAAACCCAAAAAAAACCCCCGAAGGCAATTCTTAGTGGAAAAGTTGGACTGGCAAGGGGATAGGTAAGTTTTAGAACCGAAGAAGCCTCTTGGATCAAAGGTAGAATGTCTTCTAGAAACTTGAAGAAGTCTGGACGCTTTCTTTCCAACTCCTTAGTCAATACATTTCTACAAACTACAGATGGCATCCTCTTGGAATGACTGAAACCAGCCCATTGAAGTCATTATGCAAATGTACTGTTTATAAGATTGGGGAAACCTGCAGTCAGCTGAGACTGAAGAAATCACTTGGATGAGTGACGAAACGTTTCTCCCACAAAACGCTACGTCCAGATGAACAGAATCAACTTTTGGAGATTTACTTACCTGGATGATTGAGCACACATCAAGACGTCATAACAAGAACATTATACATAACAAGTGGTTTCTAATGATCGGTTCAACTTAAGTAAGAAATTTAAGTAATGGGATTAAAAGATACCACTTGTTTGAAATGTGAAGTTTACAATTTGAGAGTATTTAAAATATAAGTAAAAGACATTCAGTGGGATCTGCTGTTGTCTTACCTATGTGAGGAAAGGTTTTCAGTGTAGGAGAACTCTGACTCAGGGCTGCACTCCCATAGGATTTAGTACCTGAACTTGACTGCAATAAAGGGCAGTAAATTGCAGGATTTTATCAGGGTCCGTTCTGCAGTCTCTCTCCATAAAAGGAGAACTTTGTGCACAGCTCCCGCTGATTGGTTCAGTTTCATCCACTGGGTGTGGTGCATGCAGAAAATTGTTCTGGGCTCTGACATAACGGGGTGGACAAGTTCCACTAAACTAACCTATGCACAGTCAGTGTTATCAAACTGAGGATAGTTCAATGTTCAATAAGCCTTTTTTTTTATCTGTCAGAATTATTGCAATAGTGCTGATACACAAGGCCAGTATGAGTATGAAACCAGCTGAAATATTTGCTTTTATGTATTTGTTATTCGTCCACTAGGAAGCACATTTAATAAATCCATTCAGTCTACAGTAGAATTGCTTTGCCATGAGGTTTCCTGAGAATTGGTCCATGTATCCCAATCACAACATGTGTAAAATACCCATGTATGTTTGTACACTGGAAAATTAACAAAATAATTAATTGAACTAATTTATTTCATGACACACAGGAATATTGTAGAAGTGGATTTCACTGTTGCATTTTACCAGTTATTTGCACATATTTGGTAGTGATTTCAGTATATAGGGTTGGGCATTTACAAGGGATTGGGAGATTATAATCTTAAGGTCATTGACAGCACAGTTAACACCCTATCTGACTCATTTGCTCAGGCATACCAATGTCCCTCACACATCACCAATGTTCCCTCTAATTTTTCACGTGTCTGAGCAAACTCCCTGAGCGGTCCCTTGGACTACTGTGAGCGACATCAGACGTGTGCACTGTGGTCATGCCAGCATCGAATCCATCCAAGTTACATGGTTTATTAAAATAATCAAATTACAGCATTTATGTTAGACTACTTTTAATTAACTGCTTTAGCCCACTTACAATGAAAATTAAAAAAATCTTGTTCATGACCTGTGTAGTATGTTAACACTATTGGAAGTAAAAATAACTTGAACTCCAATTTTGAAAACACAACTTTTTTTTTTTTTTTTTTTTATAAAGCTCTGACTTGTATTATGAGTCTGTGGTCTGGGAGAGAGTCCTGTAACTCTCTGTCTGCAAAATACAGTATATAATGACCAATGTTGGGCAATTAATTATATAGTTACTTCTTCAAAAAAGTAACAGGTTTGGCAAACAACAAAATTTTTTGCAGCATATTTTTTTTAAATGCAGCCAAGGATTTTTAAATAAACATTTCAAACTATTTACAGAACAATCAGCTGTTCTGCATCAAATTTGATGCCACACAAATTATTTGTGCCACTCCAAAAAATAATTTCTGTCCACTATGAGATAAAGGAGAACAACAGCCTGATACCTGCAGGCCTGACAACAGGAGATGTATCACTGCTGTAACACCTGTAACATTCAGCAGTCGCCTCATTGTTCTGACACACACAACAAAACTATTGACTACACTACACACTAACTACACAAGATTTGCGCTAAACGTCTCAAATCTCTCACATCTCAAAACACTGCCGTCACTCCTAAAACTTCCCCCCGTTTTTTAACAACTAGATGCCTCGTTGCCATATCATTTTTTGATTGGTCGACATGGTAGTTTTTTGGACGAATAGGAAAGGGAGAGGGGGTGGAGCCTGTTTTTGCTCACAGGTGGAGAGTGCTTTCGAGCCTTTTTTCTTATAAAACGCCGTTTTTACCGTTTCTTCCCGCAGTAAATATAAACAACGACAGTATTCAGGAAGAAAACCAAACATTGCATTTTTTTTTATCATAACTCTGGTTTTACGTGGCCTATCAACACAATTTAAAAACTGGTATAAAGTCCACACTTTTTCCGTTAATTGTTCCGTCTGCTCACATCTCCAATGGTTTTACACGTTGTCATCAACGTGGCTTCACTCCACATCGGCCACGCCGCTTTGCTAGCTAAAACACCGGTGTCGGCACATAAGGACGCTGTCAAAGCCTGTCGACGACGGTGATTAGCTGCGTATATACGAATGAATCGCATCATTGGCTGGACTATGGGATAAGGTGGCATCGTGACTAACACTGCAAAACAGAATTGTTAAAGTATTAATTTTAATTTCAATTCAGGTTAGGTTTTTTTGTGCGCAACACAGATTTTCTGTGCGCAGAGACCGTGCCAGCAGTGCGCAATAGCGCACGTTCGCAGCTTAGAGGGAACATATTGCACATCACACGTGCATAAATACAGAGTGACAGCGTGACAGTGATAGATTTGGTCTGGCGGAGATGGGTTAATGTTTACAGTATAACTCAGGAGACTGTAAATTTCTAATCTTCCCTCACTTCATCTCTCCGAACCTATGGTGCATGAGACTTTCAAGGATTAACCTTTTACACCTGAAGAGATACGATAAGCACTTGCGTAGTTTTCAGAACTTACCTATACATGGTTAGGTCACAAATATTTGGACAGAGACAACTTTTTTCTAATTTTGGTTCTGTATATTAGCACAATGAATTTTAAATGAAACAACTCAGATCCAGTTTAAGTACAGAGCTTTAATTTCATATATGGAACAAAGAGACTGCATAAAAATGTGAGGAACTGAAGTCTTTTTTAGCGCAATCTCTTCATTTCAGGGGCTCAGAAGTAATTGGACAAATTAAATAACTGAAAATAAAATCTTCATTTCTAATACTTGGTTGAAAACCCTTTGCTGGCAATGACAACCTGAAGTCTTGAACTCACGGACATCACCAGATGCTGGGTTTCCTGTTTTTTAATGCTCTGCAAGGCCTTTACTGTAGCGGCTTTCAGTTGTCATTTGTTTGTCGGTTTTTCTGTCTGAAATTTAGTCTTCAACAAGTGAAATGCATGCTCAATTGGATTAAAACAGTGGTTCCCAAAGTAGGGGGCGTGCCCCTTGGTGCAGAGCCTAGCATAACGGACATAATGGACAGGTTTGGACAGAAGATTTTCTTGTAAAACAAAGGGGGGCCTAGCAAAAAAAGTTTGGGAACCACTGAATTAAGATCAGTTAACTGACTTGATAATTCAAAAATATTGCACTTCTTGGCTTTAATAAACTCCTAGGTAGTTTTGGCTGTATGTTTTGGGTCATTAGCCATCTGTAGTATGAAATGCACTTACAAAATCAATTTGACTCTAGGCGGGCAGTATGTCTTGAAACACCTCAGAATACATTTAGCTGCTTCTGTCCCGTGTAACATCATCAATAAACACTAGTGTCCCAGTGCCAGTGGCAGCTTTGCACGTCCAAGACATCACACTGCCTCTGCCTTTTTTTTTTACCGATGATATGGAGTGCTTTGGATCATGAGCTGTTCCACGTCTTCTCCATACTTTTTTCTTGCCATCATTCTGGTGAAGGTTGATCTTGGTATCATTTGTCCAAACAATGTTTTTCCAGAAGTGTGCTGACTTTTTTACATTTTTTTTTTTTTTTTAGCAAAGTCCAATCTAGCCTCTATATTTGTAGCATTTCATGTTCCTTTTAAGCCTTAAGAGTATAAAGGAAATGTACACCATTAAGTCCTGCTCTCAAAATCTGACATAGATGTAACACTGTGTGTGAAACTGGATTTAAGTGCTTAAAATTAAAATTTTAAAAACATATTTAGCACCATCTTTTGTCAGTACGGAACTGGACGTTATCTGGTTGGTTGGCTGGTTGGTTGTGGCAAATAGACTTATATTAATTTTATCTAACTAGTGACAGAATCAATAACTCAGAGGAAAGTGCAGTGCAATTTGCTGAGATGTCCAATGAAAATTACATAGTTTGTCTTCAGATAAAAAAAATAACATCTAATCTTTACGTAGATGCCAGTTGTCATCGTGAGACACTAAGTGATCTCCAAGATGTTCTCTGAGACCTTACAAAAACCCTTGGATGCTATAACTTTTTCAATAGTTATCATATCATATAGTGGTATATCTCACAGCGGTCTGGGCACTGCTGTAAATATAAGTCTTGCATCGGCTGAATCCACGCCAGTCCACTAGAGACACAGGCAGCTAAAAATGAAGTTCACATAAAGTATGTGCTACAGTTTAAGTTGCTGCTAACTAAACTTTTTCTTTAGATTTTGCAGCTTGTTGCCTTGAGGAGCATCGGAGCAGAGAATACAGGTGTTTGGGGTTAGGTAGGTCTTCACATTAATCATGTAGGCTCCCTTTTGACAAAATCAAACCCTTCCCCACAGGTTGTGTCCTGGTACAGAGGGAACAGACTAACCCTGGCTGTAGTTACCAATCTGACCGGAGAGAACAGGGGAGTGGTATGACAAAAAGAGGATGAGGCTCAGGTAGAGAGGAGATGAAGAGGGGAGCATTGTTGAACTCAAAGAAACTGAAATATTTTAGACAAAAAAAAAAAGAGTAGATAAGGATACAGTTACAGTAAGGTCTATATTTGGACATTGATGCAAGTTGTTTTTAACCTATTTACTAAAACATATTCCAATTATAATTATATATTGGACATGGTTTTTAATGGCCATTTCATAATTCAGATGGATAATAACCTAAAATAACCAAAAACATACAGCCAACCCAGAAAGCTGCCTGGCAGAGCATTAAGAGGGAGGGAATCCAGCATATTGTGATCTCCATGAGTTCAAGACTTCAATGAACATTTAGAAACATATTAGAAATGAACATTTATTTTCAGTTATTTAATTTGCCCAATTACTTTTGAGCCCCTAAAATGAAAGATTTTGGCGCAAGCAGGATGATGTGGCTGGACACTGGTTGGGCTCTCCTGACGCAGGAATGGGTGCTGGCACCTGCTGTACACCAGCTGCTCTCACCCCAGGGATTGGTACGGGTGTGGAGTTCGACTGTGTCCTGGCTGGCCTCACCCCAGAAACCGGCATGGGTGCCGGGAAAAATCGGGCGCCAGCCACTCGCACCCGAGGAGTAGGTATGTGTGCGGAGCAAGCTGGGTCACAGTTGCCCTCTCTCTCGGGACAGGCACAGGCAAAGGCTGAGCGTCTGCTGTCCCCACCCAAAGAACAGATAAGGGTCCAGGGACCGGTGAAGGCTCAGCTGGCTTGGGGATAGGAGCAGGCACCAGCAGAATCCCAGCCACCCTCACCCGAAGCGCTGAAATGGGTGCAGGGAAAGACCGGAGCACTGCCACCCTGAGAGCAGGCACAGAAATACACAGAGGAGATGACTCAGGAGTAACCACGGGTAAAGCTGTGGTCTCAAAACGACTTGGGAGCTCCTTAGAGAGCATAGGTTCAGGTGTAAAATTAGCCATCCTTGACAATGCTTTTTGTTCAGCACAGCAAACAATCTTTTAGGGGATTGAGTCATTCACACAATAAGTTGGGTACAGTTTGGCTGGCTCATGAACAGAGAATGCAATGAGAGTAGTAGTAATAGGAGCCACCATATCATTGTTTAGCTCCTTAGAAACATGGTTATTCCAACCCAAGATCTGACTCAGGAACTAAACATGTTTCTTTATTATCCCTGGCTCTGAACAAACATCTTACGTAGCAGCTGCACCAGAAACAAACACAACAGCTGGCCTGGAAATGCTAGATGTAACACCTGGAGAGGTCTGGAAAATTTTATTCTTAGAAAATTCGGGAATCTTTAAGTCATTAACCCCTGTGGAATCAATAACTGTCACGGTCCTGGGTCTCCTGACCCAGCGTTTTTAGTTCTTTGTGATTTTTGTATTATTGTACTTGTGTGTGTGATCTATTTTATGGCTTCTAGTTTTGATCCCTTGCCCTTCATGTCTCTCTGTGTCCCCTCTGTTCTGTGTAATTGTGTGTCTTTGCATGTTTGAGTTTCTTGTTTTCTGTCACTCTGCATTGTGCATTATGTTCGCATTGTTGGTTTTTTGTTACTCTCTCTAGTCTAGTCTCTTGTGTTCCCAGCTGAGTATTTCCCTGTGTATTTTGGTTCTTAGACCTCTGCCTTATGGTTTATGTCTCTGTGTTTCTTAGTTGCTGTCTCCACTGTGTCAAGTTCGCGTCTCTGTGATACTTCCTGTTTTACTTTGATGGTCCGTGTCTCATGTGAATGCGTCCTGCTTTGCTTGTCTCGTCAGTCCTGATTTCTCCCAGCTGTGCCCTCCTTCTGTGTCTCATTCCCCTCGTTACTTCCCAGTGTATTTAAACCCTGTGTTTCTCTGAGTCAGTGTCGCGTCGTCCCTCATGCTGTGTGGATCTCCCTGTGTGTCTCTCTGTGAGTTTCTAAGTTCCCAGTTTAGATTAGTTTGTATGTTTTTCCCTGCCAGCAAATAAAGCTGAGTTTTGAGTTCACCTCCCTGAGTCTGTGAGTCCTGCATTTTGGGTCCAACTCCTGCCTGCCGCACAGCGATTCATGACAATAACACTGTCTGCAGTCTTGACAGTCCCAGTAGGGATGGGAGTAACAGTCACCAACCTCAAGTCCTTTGTGACAGAATTCACTGAAATGGCAGAGTCCGTTCTACTCACTGCAGAGTCCAAGGTTGCCAACCCGCTGTCAGCTGACTGGGATGAAGCCACAGGAATGAGCCGGGATGTGGTGCGACAATGACAACGGGCCCTCCATCTTCCCTGCAAAGGAGGGGCAGAAGATGCCATGATGGCTGACGAAGGGGAATTGGTCAGCTGTCAGGACCACCAGTGTGTCTGCATCTGGCCTTGTGCTGGCCCATGTGTGGGCCACCTCTGGCCAATTTGGATTCTTATTTGCAAGAATCCAAATAAAGCATTCTGAATATAGCTTGCTTTATTTATAAAATTGTCATGATTTATTAGAGCTCTTTTAATTAAAAGGCCAAGGCTCCTTTTTTGTCTTTGTGCAGACCTGCCAAAATGTATTTCAAATCCATGTTATTCAGACCATTAGATGGTTTTTCAGTTCACCAGTTCCCATTTTAAATAAGAAATAACCCAGCAGAGGTTTCTGGATCTCAGTTATATTTGCATCCACAGGTTTAAACACCATTAATCCTAAATAATTGAACTCTGTACTCACCCAGTTTTTGACAGAGTGGTGAACTCTTTTCTGTATGTTTGGAAACAAGATTGTACTGGCCACAGTAGATGTGGGATATCCGAAGCTTATCTGAGACTGAATATTTTTACTTGTTTAATACTGGCAGATAATAAGAATTATACATCTAGAGGTACCTCTTATAATAGAGTTGTCCCCTTTAAGGACCCAAAGAACATGTTTTTGACAGGCTTTATTTGAATCAGAAGTAAAGTGACACAACAAGGATTTGATCATTTTTACACAACTGAAATTAGACTCACATATTAGTAGAAATACACAGCAGCTGATTCAGTGTGTGTGTAATTATTTATAATTAAAAACTACTGAAAACCAAAAAAGTATGATTTTTCTATCATTTAAAAATATTAATATATGAATACAACCCTGAACTTTAGCTTATATAAAGGCTAAAAACTGAATACAGTTACCTCTTAGTGGTAGCAAAATAAATCCATAAACTGATGAGTCACATGAATTTTTACATTAATTAACTCAAAATACATTTGTTATTTTGCAGATGGTTGATAACTATCACACCGGTCTCCAGCCAGATGAGGGTCACATGTCAGAGTGTACCGGACCTCAAAACCTCCTCTTTTAGCTGGACAGGTAATTGTGTATGTCCCCTGCTGAAGATACTTGAAACATGATCCCAGACGGTCATCATTTGTTACGTCCTTGTCCCAAACTTCAACCTTCAAACCAGAGTGTGTGTCCACCTTCATAAGAAAATTAATCAAACAAGAGTTTTAATTTTCATCCTTCCAATTTTTATTTTAGGTTTGTGAATCTTAAACAGTAATAAGGACAATTGGACAAATTCATAAAATATTTTTTAAAATCATATTTTACATTTAAATTCAGATTGGAAACTTTAAAATGATTTAAAATTAATCTGTGATAGAGACACACTGGTGAATTCCTGGGGGGCACTCACATATCACTTTTTTTCTCTTAAATCTGACTCCTTGACAGATTTAATCAGTTTATTGATGACTTTTATAGGCCCATCCCCAGAATTATTTTTGTTTGGCTGCAAAACCACCCAGAAACAAGTACCTGTATAGTTATGGTTAGCTGAAGAATGGCTCTGTGAATAGCAGAATACTTGATTGTTTTCCCAAAATCTATTGAAATCTGGGCACTTCACAAATAAAATGATAAATCATGAAAAACGCCTTATCACCAAGATCAACTTATTGCAACAGAAGACATTTAAGGCAGGATCCACATGGTGCCTTTTAACAAAATGAGCGGGTTGTAAGTATTGCAGAAGTGTTGTGCTCATTTACCTTCAGCATTTTAGTATTATAGTAAAAACTGTAGCAAATGTGTTCAAAACCACTACATAGCTAATATTACTTTTATTGCTTGCCAAGTCATTGTGTACACTGTATCACGGAATTTGTTGTTACAGCAGTTTTACAGGTTTTACAGCCACTAAAACTTGAAACCATAAGTTTGGTAGTAGAGTTTGGTTATTTGGGTTAATGTAAGGTAATCCTTTTGCTGTCAGTTTAGGTACAAAAGTATCAACCCTTCTTTGGCAATCATGGCTTTGATTGGGACAAACCACAACAATCCTTTTTTTAGATTTGAAAAGTCAATCAACTCTGCTGACTGTGAGCCCAAAAGACTTATGATTATCCATAGTAAGGTTTTACTGACCTTGCCCAGATCATAATTCACGTTCCACTGGGGGTTGTTTGACCGAATCCAATGAGTCTGCTTATAGATGGAGCCAAACCACATTTTTACATAGCTGTATGTAGAAACAAAGAAAGAAGAGCAACAGAAGAATTAGTAAGTCTATTTGATATACCACCTCCAAATTTGAATCCCTGACCAGAGTCTATTCACCCCTCAGTCTGGCCAGTTGGATCTCCTTTCAGGTCCCAGGCTCGCAAAATGGTAACCTTTAGCGACCCCCTCCAGGCTTGCAGAGGACAGCAGTTGGAAGCCAGATTAGGAATGTTTGAACAAAAGTTTGGCTTACTGGGTGATTTTTTCACAGCATTGTCCTCTAAGTACTGCTCAATGGCAGCTTTCATCCCTGTCTTTTGTGTATAATTTGTCATCAGCTCGTAGATTGGCCGAAGGGAGTAGGAAACAACATCTGGGTGATCCTTCAGTGTCTTCAGCCAAGTTAGATAGCCAAGGGAGTTATTATGTGTGAGTGCAAACTCTCCCAACCAACCATTGCCTCCTACCACCTCTGTGTAGTGTTGGTGGAGTCCAGAGCCGTATGTAACAGAGAGACCCTGGTTTTGAAGGACCTTGTTGCAAGAGTCTCTGTTACCAGATAGTTGCAACTTTCCCAAACCAACAGAGAAACCCAGCGATAAACAGGAGTGGACCTGCAGGACAAGAAGGGAAAGAAAATGTCAACAAATATTTGTACTTTCTACTCTGTACATTTTCAAAACAGATATATTGTTTGATATATTTCAGGAGAGTTATTATTTTACATCAGTGCAAGCTTTCAAACATCAAACAGACTTGAGCCTGAACTGTAACACATGAAATTCAATCCCGTATTAATCACCATGTTCCAAAAAAAGAGATGAAAGAGGCAAAACCGTGTGCCATCGTCAGGAGTTAGAGTGGTTTTTATTTTAGTTTTGGTTTGTTTGTTTTTTGTTTGTTTTTTGGCACAACACTCAGAGATGGAGAAAGATAAAAAAGGCAGGACAGGAGAGGAAGAAGAAAAGTTAGATTTAAAGGTAAGGACTGCTAAGTGACGCTTGATAAACTGGAAATTTAAAGTTACGTGTCCTTACAAGTTGTCATGTTTGTAAATCTGATATTGGGTCTGTACATTTGAAAATATGTTTTTTCATATTGTGAAGCGTGCTGCAAACAAACTGAGGTAGATTAATGGTATTATACTGCATGAAAAAACTCTGCAGTTTAGTGCAGGATAAATAGGTTCGTTTGCTGTACTATCATGGGTTTAAAACAGGGCTGTCCAGGCCGCCTCAAGGGCCGGTGTCCTGCAGGTTTTAGATCTCACCCTGGGTCAGCTCACCCAAATCAAATTATTATTTCATTGCCAGGCCTCTTCAGAACTTCAAGACATGTTGAGGAGGTCATTTAGCCTTTTAAATCAGCTGTGTTGGATCAAGGACTCATCTAAAACCTGCAGGACACCGGCCCTTGAGGCCTGGAGTTGGACACACTTGGTTAAAAGTAAAGACCAGTGTGTGACTGGTGCACAGTGGATATGGTGCTCATGGTTACATTGAGTATATAAATAGTGTACTAGAGGATGGAAATCAGCCAAGACAACTCATGAAATATCCGCTGACATTTTGAATTCAGTTGTGTACATTCACAAAGAGTAATAAATCTCAGAGCCGCAGGTCAACTGATCACAGCCTGTACACTAAAAAAATCTGCTGGATCCCACAATAAAAATTGTGATTCTTTTCCCTATGCTGAGCCACGACAACTTATTTTAGGGTCCCCCCACCCGCTGAATCTGACTGTGCTCATTTTCCTGTTTAGAGGCAAAGTCACCCTCTACAATGTAGAAAACAGAAAATAGAGCTATGTTTTTATTTTCCTTCTTTTTGTCTGCTCATGTTCTGCTTAACAGATTCAAGCTGAGAATATTTATTACAATTAAAAGTTGACTAAAGCAAAGTTTGTATTATAATGTACTTATTATTTTTATTGTTATATTATTACACTGTTTAGTTAGTTCTGCACCACAATAGCCGGTGCCTTGAGGCAACTATTGTTGTGATTTTGCATTATATAAATAATGAACTTTATGTATGCACCTGATTTGAGGTGAGTCCGTTCAGTGAGGACAGACAGGTTCGTGCAGCTGTGACTCGCCTCAGTCGACCACCAAGGTGAACCTGCAATGTGGTGCAAAGTTGTTGTTATAAAAAAATTTTTTTAAATTATTTTTAAATAAGGTAATTCACCGTGTGTGTGTTTTAACCTGGCGGATGTAGTGTGTGCCATAGGTGTGTATGAGCTGACTGTACTGAGCTCTGGTGAAGCTGTTGTAGAAACCTGGTAGCTTAGCTACAGCCGAACTGAACTCAGAGCTGAGAGGTGGTCTGTCTGATACTCGGTAACTGGACACAAAGAGACAGATTAGTAAATGATCTCAACAGAAGCTTTTCAAACCACGATTGCAGAATAACCTGAATTTATGTGAGTATTCTGAGTTATTCACAGCCTACCTGTAATGGTTGCAGGTGACCCTGTGTGTGCTGAAGGTGTGGCGGTCCTCTTTGGTCCTTTCTGAAGCAAAGTTATAGGCAGTGGATTGCGTTCCTCCCACATCCAGGCTAGCAGTCACAAACTTCTCTAAATTTAGGCCAACCTGTCATAATAAATGAGACAAATGATTAATTTGTAGTCAAATACGGGACTTTACAGAAGTGTTTCATTTTATTCACATTTTAGCTCGTCAGTACTGAGACATTTTGTGATGTATTTGTCCAGATCCTAATTTATGTTCAAACATGGCCTCATGTTTGAACATAATATAAATTTATTGTGTAATTTATTATGTAATTTTCCTACTTGGGTCAAATAAATATTGTCTTGAGATGTTGAAGTGTATGAGAGTAAATGTGTACTTCGTTGATTTCTTTTCAGAACATTGGTTCTGAATTTGATGCCAAAAAAGGAAAGGTACATTTCCTTTTTGGTCACAAGGTGGCAGTCTTGTGAAGGCATGATTACTGCACCAAGCTACAGGTAAAATATATCATTAGTATAGTAAAATGTGCCCTACCTTCCAGTCAGCACTGTCCTGGGAGGTGTAATCGTCAACCAAAGAGCTGTGAATACAATTCAAAGTAAACGATCACTGTAAAATCTGAAAGTTAGTATTTACAGATGAACACCTGTTATTGTAATTAGACTTTCAGCTGTGAATAATATGATGAAGAGAGTTTAGGCCAGAGAAGGTGTTTAGCAATCAAAATGCTTACTATTAAATTAGTGTGACTTTTCATTTCATCATTGCCAAAGACTGAATGAGTTTAATTAGATGGAAATCTTTAGATAAAGAGTCAACGGCTGAGCCACAAGATGCTC